TCTTCTGCTCCATGAATACGTTCGTCAATTCTCTTGGATTGCTTGTAGTCTGGATACCTTAAAACAGCACAACAAGCACTCCGGCTCTGTTCCAAAGGAAGCACATCAACGTCTAGCAGAGTCTAGCACATGTAAATCATGTCCAGAAGCTTCTCCTGCAGCTTCTTTGCCAATTGAACCCCCGTGTGTTCTTCAATGAACCGGATCATGCCCTCGAGAGTGCGCACGCCGTCAAACTTTATGGGGCCGTCCTTCTTGTCGCGCAGAAAGAGCTTCATGTTGGGAATGTAAGGCTCCGGGAAAAGATCAGGGTCAACCATGTTCTCGACTGTGTCCATCATGGCCACTCGAATCTCGTCCAGTCGCTGTGTGATCTTGGCAAGCTGGTAGATGAAGGGTTTGACCACGACTGACGGTCCGCACCAATCGGCAGTGCAGTCTATAAATACGTGCGCGTCAGATTGCTTGACTACTTCTTCGAAAGTGTCTGCAACCACCGTAAACAAACCCGTCTTCGGATTCGGGTTTTCCGGTGGAGGGACACCGGACTTTCGCCGGTCCGTCTTGCATTTCCAGCAGGTTCGGGATGTAGACGAATTACGAGTCTGTCTCCCCCGACGCTCGCACTCGGAATTTCGGCAAAGCCACACACCTCTGGGCTGGTGAAGCTGGACTACCTCGCCGAGACATGTGATGGACTATGTCGAGGACGCAAAGATGGGGAAGACGAAAACTCGTGGATCTGCAAGATAGCAAAAGCAGTGAACTCATCGTACAAAGCTGCAGGCATTTGGCTTAACAACTCCTGCGCCGCGCCTGTGCCTGCGATGCCAAGTAGTCTGAGCCAAACCGAACTTCACGTAGGTTGCCTCCGAGCATCCATTTCCTCGGAACTCTTGGCACGGTGCCGGTCGTGCAGATGCACGAAAACATTTCTGGTGCAGTATGGCAAGAAATTCAGACCGTATTTTAGACAGATATCTTCCTGGATTTCAACGAATCGGTGGGACCTGGATCAGCCTTCCCGAACAGAGAGATGCCTGGGCGACTACTCAGGAAACACGGAGATCACAGTCGTATCAGCAAGGAAACTGTAGCACAAACCCCAAGTGTGTCACGGATTGTGAGAGCTAAAGCCGCACCTCGTTCTGTTGCAAGGGAGAACGGCCCGTTGCTGCGGAGACCCGGATAACCTGGCGTTACAACAGCACAACGAGAGTGACCAGGCGGCCGGCGCATCCCATGCATAAGGTGATACTACTATCGATATTGATTGCAAGTTTCCTATCTCTTGTCCAAAGCTAAAATCTTGAACTGCGAACCTGGCTCCACTTCTAAGATCCGCTCGCCATCCAGCCACAAGGACAAAGATCGGGGAAGGTCTGCTGAAATCGTCAGCAGGTGCCACATGCCCGCTTGAACCTGTCGCGTCAAGCCCGTAATGCAACAACTGCTCTAGCTGCACGCAATTCTATAAACGTAACTGTTGCCCGTGCAAACCAACCCTCAAGGGCATTCAATTGCGTTACGCCGTCTTCTCTCATCTGGGTGGTTGCTTGTGTGCTACTTCGTTTATGCAGTTTGTTGTCGGGGCAGTCACGCCTGAGATGCGGTCTTCCGTGTGGGTTCCAAAGCCTCGGGGCACACCTTTGCTCGACATCCACAAGATCAGGACCCCACCCGCCAGATCCCGAAAGCCATCGGATTCAACCCCTGAGAGCAAGGTCTGACGCCAGAACGGAGAGGCCTGAGTGGCTGGAAATGCCAGGCTCGAGCTGCATTGAATCCATGAGAGGGGCG